TCACTTGCCTGAGCCTGGATCTATGCAGGTTTGGCTGAGCATGGCAGAGAAAAAATAAGAAAGTGAGGGATTCTTAAGGAGTGTCCTCATACTCCTCTTTCTTGAAAATATATCCTGCTAATGCCTTCTGCAAATATCTGTACTTGACCTCTGCATTGAAATTAGGGGGCTTTGTCTAGAAGGGGAGGAATTCGTAATGGGGAAAGAGGAAGGGTGATTGCCATCAAATTCACAGAAACCATTTACATTATCAACAAAAGTGAGTGCTCTCCTTCTGCCTATAATAAAATGCTGATGTCGAATATATTGATTGGCTTTTAATTTTATCATTATATATCCCACAAAATAGTCTAGAAAGCTAAATGTATTTTGATGTTTTATTTGGTTTAGTTTTTTATCYAGTTCAGATAAATCATTTTCTACACAGGTGTCTTATCAAGTGTGTCCAGGAGAGAAAATCTACTGTGACGATACCATTCATCGCATGTTAGGAGTGTAAATATTCAGTACTATTAAATTCTCTGAACTAAAAGAGTATGTAGTGCCTTAAGATGGAATCATGTTTTATTGTATCTTCCTTATGGCTCCTAGTTAATTTAGAGTTGTAATCCTGGATCCTTATTTAAAATCAGAGTAAATATAATCCATGTATGGAACAGTATGTATGAACTGTGACTGAACTACCTGTCCAGAATCAGGCAGTTTTCTGTCCTTTTCTGTGTGCAGAGGTACTCTGAAATATCTGAAAATTACAATCAGTATTAATATAAACTTTTTCAAATGGCTGGTACCTTCTGCATTTACATCATTTTAGTATCTGAGCACGTATACCTCTTAAATATTTTAAGTATCGTAGGAGCCCAGAGGGTAGGTCGATGTTCCCATCTGTCTTTCAGGATGTAAAGTGACATTCTGAAGGTGATGCAAATATCACAGCAGAGTGTACCCAGAAATGGAGCTCAATGCCATCCATTTGAGTCAGTTTCCCCTACAAAAAGTCTCTCAGTTCTTAATTTGTCTGATACAACTCATTTTAGGGTGTTAAAATTGTGATTATTCAGGGTAAAACCTTGAGTGGTCCATGTTTTCAGAAAGTGTAAAAATACAGAGTTGTTCTTCTAAACTAAACAATCCACTTTCACAGAACTCTTAACTGGAAGAAGCTGTAACAAAACACAGGCTGTGCCTCTCCACCACATGGGCACATCAGCAAGCAGCCCTGCACAGGACCCCGTGACTTGTRCTTCACAAAAGACTCTTCTGCCAGAGAGGATCCAGCCTTGATCCTCTTGCTGGGAGATTGATATTCTGCTGCTGTCTGCAACTTGTCTGATTGCATCTCACATTAATTCACCAAATATCTGTCTCTGCTGCCTGAGTCCTCACCACCATTTCCCAGTACAAATTGTGGTGTGCAGGCAGACCATCCCTYAGATGGATTTCAGGATTGATGGTCCAAACTGATCTGCTAAAATCTGAGTTGTTGCCTCCAGAGTTTTGGACACTGCTTTGACRCTTCCTTTTGCATCTCCAGGTTTCCACTATGTAATTTTAAAGATCTGGAGACCAGAACTGAGCTTGTGATTCCATTTTTGCTTATGCTGRTTTTTCTGAAAGGAGGAGATTTATTGGAGGACCATGCTGACCCTCTDTGACACACTCACTCATTCAGCTAGCTGCTGGATCACCCTGCCAGGTTCAGGCTTGTGCCACTTGGAATGCAGGCTTTCATTTCACAGATATGCCAGTATTTGTAATGCAGTCATTTTCAGGTTTACATTTTTATGTTGTGCTTTTTTTTTTCCTTTACCCCCTCCACCTCAGCAGCAGCAAAATGTGTTTGGGTTTGTTGTTCTTTTCAAATGGCCTTAAGTTGTAGTGATTTGGATCTCTCTGTGTATTCATGCTGTCCTCATCCTTATCTCCTCTGGTCTAAGTTACCAGCTTCAAAATCTGAAATGTTTATTTCAACATTGAGGGTTTAGAGTCTGAAATATCACTCTAAAAATTGTGATTTGATGGTATTTTCCTATTTACAGGTACTCTGAAGACCTGACCGATAGCCTAAACATTAATCCTATGCTTTACTGCATATCAGAGCTGATAGGTATAATTTAGGACACTGAGGACAAAACATGGTGGAGTTGGGCGAGATGAAAAGGAAGTCATTCTTATGTTCAGGCTATTTGCTTGTGTGGCTTGTTCCACTCTAAATAYGTACTGAACGTGACGTTCTTTGTGTCTGAAATAGTAGCAGAATAACCTAGTGGTTGCTAAGGTAATGAGAACCCACCGTTCCCTCACCAATTCCTGTAAATAAAGTATGGAATTTAATTTCACTCTGTGTTACCTGAGGCAGCCCTGGCATCTGATAAAACAAATGATCTTCACATTCTTCTCCACTTCCTTTCTGATTTTCATTGAAATACTGAGATGTTTCTCTTTTTGTAAATGAATGAGGCTGCCCTACAGATGGTGGGGTAGAAAGTAGCCTAAGAATTACATCTTTTGTCTTGCAGCTGTTTTCCCTCTGTGACTTAAAATGGATTTGTCTTCCTGTCAAAATACTTCTGTTKCATGTGATCAGGACTGAAGATTTGACAGCCATAAGAGTCCCTCTTTCTGTTTTTCTCTTGATGCAGAACTTATGTGTTTATTATCCGTGCTTGTGCTGTAGATTGCAAACACAGCATGAGTGTGAATCCAACATTGATTTCTTCATCAAAGAAAGGAAGATTCTCTCAAAAACCAATATTGCAAATCCAGGAATTTGCAAATGCAAGACACCAATAGATGAGTGGGTGAGATACTCACCTGGTGGAACAATTCTTGGCAAGGATTATCACTGGCCTTGGGGGTGCAGGCAGCAAACAAGAAATCCAAAGGAGCTCTGACCGCTGTGCAACCAGGCAACACTAYACCCCAGACCATCTCGACTTTGTAATGGAAAAAGAGAATCCATATCAAGCTACTCGGCAGCTAATCAATCATCCGAGTCCACCAGGCTGGGCACAGAAGATTGTATCTCTCACGTACATGAGGGGGAAGAAGAAACAGCTGGGGCATGGGATGGAGTTATGCTTGGAGTAAAGGGATCTATTGTAAGAGAGAGGCAGCTTGCTATGCTGCAWTATGGACAGACAAAATAATATTCTCCCTTCTTTTAATGCAACAAATTTTTGTCTTGCCTGTGTTACGTTGATATCAAGTCATTGGTCACTTGCCACAAGTTGCCACAAGCTGGTTATTTAAGCCTAATAGCTGTCTGGATATCAAGAGTTTATATTCTAATAGCCTGTCTGCCCAGAGAAGTAGAYCTGGGAGGTGAAGTGGACAGCTGGCATAATATATGGACACTTGAACCCGGAAACGAAAGACAGCTGCTAGATCTAATTTTAAACATAGCTCTTGATCAGATCCCTCTAGATCCTGCTTGTCCTGCTACAGCAAACGCGTTAGTGGGAGTAGAGAGGCGACAAGTTGAAGATATTGGTGAGGAACTTTTGTGAGGAAGGGARTCACTCTTGTTCCAGTTATGGTATTTCCATTTTTCACAGTAAGTGTTGTCAGCTTCCAGAGGAGGGGAGTGGAAATGGTTTGTGGCTGGTACGTGGTCTAACACTGCAGACACTGAGAGCTACTGAGTGGCTCTTCTGGGGCCTCTTACTGGCCAGTGGGACTCCTGTTCTGCAAGTACGAGGGCAGACAGCGCGGTTCCAAACGCGGAAACGATGAAACAGAGTGGGGGTTTTCCTAACATTTTAAAATAATACATGGTTACATATCAGCCAGGTTGTAATTCCGAGTTTTTACATCAGGACTCGGGAATGCGGCGGTCTGGAGCTCCATCTAGCGGGGCGCGGCGAATCCCGCTGGTTGGGTTTGGGGTTGAGTTTTTTTTAGCAAGTACCAAAATAACCACGAATAATATCGTACCAATAGAATTCTTCACTTGGGATTAGCAAGTTAGACACATTTGTAACTCAGCAGCAGGTTAAGTGCTTTTTTTAAGTTCCTGTTTTGCTTTCAGAACGCTAATATCAAGCTGCGTTTGTTTTGGTTTTGGGTTTTTTTTTAAGTGTGACGACATTGTTCTGCTTTATTACAATTAAGATGCTAAAATTAAGACCTATGGAAACATTTCTAGTATTTATTCTCTTTATGAAGTTAGCTAACCTCTGGAAATTTTGGAAGCAAGCAGCATATTTCCCCTCTGATGTGAAGATTCTCCTCTATTAGACCACTCTGTTGATCACAATAGGTTTAGAAATCACAGCTTTGCTGGTTAATATCTGCTTTTTAAAAGTGAAACATCCATTTTTTAAAATGAATTCTTTTTAATTTCTATAACAAGAAACTCGATGAAATAAGAATGAAGAATAATTTTTGTTTCTATGTTTTACTACAAAACTTAAACTGCAACTCAACTTCTCATTTACCAAGCTTGGTTAGGGTAGAAAAGTAACTAAAATATAATTGTATTATTCTAAAGACATTCTGCTSAAACTGGTGTTAATCTCCAATACAGAGAGACAACATAAATAAGTTAATGATCACATTCAAATATAAATGCTGTGTGTATTTATCTATCCTTTTTCCTAAGCAAAGTGGATAAAACAGATATTTATTATGATGTGACATAAAATTTTTGTTGTAAAGCATTGTAAACAGCATGGTAAAAGTTGACAGAGGCAGTTGGAGCTGGAGTGGTGGGTCAGAGGCCATAAATGGCCAAACAAGGTCACATTTCACTAAAGCAYGCTCCTTAATTTCCTTTCAACAGTATTATTTCACTAGTACCAGAYTTGTGTTGTATGTAAACTTTCAGCTCTCCTGCCTCCTGCACAACAAAATGCTTTTCCTGTTGATTCAACTCAGAGGCTTGGAAGTGACAGCTGCCAAGGATGGCTTATTTCAAATCTTCTATTCCCGATTCGCCTGTGTGTCCTTTCTAAAKATGCATTTTTGTACCTCCCATCTAAAGCTCTTCTTTTCAACAGACAAGCTCAGAGATACCAAAATTGCGAAAGGAAGACCAAAAAGCACGAAATGCACTCTTGGCTGATATCCAGCAGGGAACTCGCCTGAGGAAAGTGACTCAAATCAACGACCGCAGTGCACCACAGATCGAAAGTGAGTGGGTGCTCCTCAGTAAGGCCCCGGGGGAGCTTTGCTGAAGCCTTGGGTGTGGGTGGAGGTCAGATGGACAGTTCCAAACTGAAGGGCAGGTTTAAAGGTCTGCAAAAGCCTGCATCATTGTATGGCTTCGGGATGGGGAGAGGGGATATTAGCTAAACATGCATCCTGCCCTGAGATCAATGACTGTTAACACTTCATGGTAAGTGTCCAACTGGTATCACCTTCACAGGCATTCCTTGTTAAAAAAAAAAATTATTAAATTCTTGAGAGTTTTTCAATAAAATAATAAAGTGGGGATTGCTGGCTCTAGCAGAAGAATTGTTCTTTATTAGCTTACAAGAACAAAAAATGCTGAAAAAWTCTGGACACAAAAATTTAAAATCAGGCCTGGCACAACTACTTCTTGGTGTCATGATTCGTGTGAGATTGAAGAGCACCAGAGGGTGCTGTGCTCCAAGGCACAGTACACAGAGTGATGCAGTTACTGCAGTAGCAGTAGAGAGAAAAGTCTGGCCTTGGCTGCTTGTTGGTGCCAAGCCTTAGCAGTCTCAGGGCAAGAATGAAATTATTTTACCCTGTTTTTTTTGTTTTGTTTTTTTTTAACAGAGCCCAAAGGAGCTAACAAAGATGGAGTTAACTCAGCTGGTAATAAAGGTGGCTGTCAGCAGCCTCTGGGAGGTTTATTTGCTGGTGGTTTTCCTGTTCTCAGACCAGCAGGCCAGCGGGACATGACAGGTAAGGGCTTCACTTGTATGAAAGCATAGCTGGGATGGCAGTGATTTGGGATGAAAGTACTTTGGGGTTARCTTTAGTGACTGATTTTCATTGTTGGGTTGTTTTTTTTCTGAATGCTTAGTTTATCATGTAACCATGGAGGGCTCAATTAATAATGTGATTGAAACAGTCTTTCTAGATTTCAGGTGCCTTAGTCCTTAAAATGTAMAAAGCTATCTCCACACTCAGTAGGAAAGAGATTAAATAGATCTCTTTAASTGAGCTTTTTACATTATTTTAATGRAAACTTTTAATTGTGTCTTGAATRCAGTATTGAAATCTGAGCTTATCAGTTTCAGCACAAATGGCAAAGTTATTTCCTTCCCTCCATTAGTATGTATTTCTGTGGTATTACACCCTTGTGTGTTACATTAAAGATTCATATTTAAGATTTTGCCCTCTTGATTTTATAAAGTATAGCTTTGATCCAGCAAGTTCATTTACTGACCTGAAAAAGAAGGGTATTGTTGTTTCACAATGACAAGGAGGAAGGCACATATGAGAGCCTCACTGATTTTACCTCAAGAAGTGYCAGCATCAATGAGGGGTGACGTTTATAGCCACAGTAGTGACCTCTGGCACTGTTGGGCAGCTGATGCCTGCTCAGACAGCGCACAGCAAAGCARGTTTTTGCAGGAAAAGACAGAACTTGGCTCTGCCTGAAGATTTTTTTTGCTCCTGAAAGGCAAGCCCAAGATGCACAGCACTGTGTGTGATGGGGCTTTTGACACAGCTTCAGTGGCAGTAACTACTTTGAGTACTTCTTAAAACCATGGCTATGCCTATCAGACTATGCGAGTATCGAATGAGATGCCTTTTTTGACATCTTGCTTTGTGAAAAATCCCTGACATTTACACAGGAAAAGACATTTTGTATGTTCAAGAGTCTTCAGGCATTTACTGTTAAAAATGAAATACCAGAACCTGTGCCTTCTGGAAAGCCTTTGAAGCATTTCTTTTAAAAACTTGTCTTTTATCCCTGGGGTTGAGATGTCGGTAAYATTTTGTGTGAAGTTTTTGATCCTAAGCTAGTACGTGAAGCATGCCTGTTGATGTGTGTCAAACTGCTCGTGTACTTTTMACCGGGACTCTCATGCCCAGCAGGCTGTACTAGACAGATGAGGCTGCTGTGAAGAGCCCCAGACTCTCCAGACAAGCACCTTCTCCTTAAAATATTTCTTTCTGYAAAAACTGAGRAACAGGGAGGGGRAACTGAGGAGAAACTGAGAAACTGRCAGCAGCGTCTCTCATGTAACTAAGCAGAATCCTTGTGCCCACTGGAATGCATCACCCCCTAAACCCTTYCATAGCACAGGCAACCTGTTAGACATAACGTGCTTGTGGCGAATTAGTTTAATCCCTCAGGGAATCCCCTGGGGAGGGGAAGATGAAGAGCTTGCCCTCGGCGCTGTTCGGAGCGGGAAGGCAGTCCCGGTGTGTAACATGCGATCTCTGGTTTCCAGCAGGGCGGCCTGGGCAGCTCTCCGGAGCCCGAGCAGCAGCCCCCAGACCCTCCACCCCGGCGAGCAGCGGCGCTGCCAAGGCGAGCAGCAATCCCTCGCAGCCGGCCGAAGCTCCAAGGGCGGCTGTCCCACCGGAGCCCCCCGGCACCTCCCGAGCCGCAGCAGGAGCAGGATCCGGAGCCGGCCCGGGGCGGCCCAGCCTGCCCGCCCCGCCTCCACCGCCCCCCGCTGCCAGCAAGCCTTCCCTCACCTTCCCTCCTCCTCCGTCCGTGCCCCCTCCGGCCGATCGCCCTGCCAAGGGGGTGACCCCCGGCGCTGCCCCTCCGCCCCCGCCCCCGCTGCCGCCCCCTCAGGCACCCTCCAAGCTTCAAGCAGGCGCTTCGCACCCGCCCCCTCCTCCTCCTCCTCCTCCCCCGCTGCCCCCCGTGCTCCCCTCCGGGCTGCCGGGCAGGGTCGCCGAGCTCTGTGCGGCCGCCGCTCCCGCAGCCGAAGGGAGGGATTGTCCCCCGCCCGCGCCGCCGCCGCCGCCCCCTCCGCCGCCACACGCCCACGGCCTGCCCCCGAACAGGCTCTCCTTTCCCCCCTCCCCGGCCTGCAGCGGGGCTGACGTGCCCCCTCCGCTGCCCCCCAAGTCTCCCCACTTGCTGTCACAGTTCCATAAGCCAAGCAACATCCAGTCGCTGCCGCTCCCACCCACCCCCGGCCAYCCTCAGCCCGCAGCCGCGGGGGAGACCAGGAAGAAGAGACCCGGCCGAGGCGCAGGTGAGAGCGGCACGTCGGAAAGAAGGAGGCTTTTCCCTCCCTTTGGATTTCTCTGGGGAAATCACAGAATGGTTTGGGTTGGAAGGGGACCTTGGAGGTGACTTAGTTCTTCAAGGTCCCCTTCCAAGCCAAACCATCCAAGCCAAACCATTCTATTGCACTGGTAACTGAAGAGCATGGAACGAAAAGCGCGCATGGGAAGAAGCACACTTGTAGGTTGCACAGCGCATGATGAGCACACAAAACATCTGGCTTTTTGAGATGTYAGGCAGTTCTTAGCACTGGGTTCACATGTTTATATAGTTTAAGGTGCCGCTCTTGGAAGCGACATACTGGTCAGTGGAGGCAAAGTCTTAGGACTGTGGGCTGCTTCTTGCTTTTGTGTTGGCTGTGGTGTGTCCAGCGGTGTTCAGGTGTGGCAGCAGAGTGCACACCACCGTGTCTGCCAGGTCAGCARCTAATCCGCCTGCCCAGGACATCCCTCCACAGCTGTACCCATGCAGGAGCTATAGTGACAACCGCTGGGAAACACTACAGGAGATAATGAAACAGAGATGGGACAGCTACCAGCTAGCTGTACATGAGCAAAAGCAAATCTGGCTGCAGCTCTTCTTCAACRAAGAAAAGCAGCCAGTGCCTTCTGTGGTCAAGGTGGTTGGGCCAAAGGCTTCTCCAACTGCTTGGAAGTGGGGTATAAGCCAGTATTTCCTTGAGTAGTTGGGAGAAGAAAATTTTATTAGACTCTTCTGATGTGATGAAWATAATAAAAAGGATGAGCCTAGATTTGTGTGGCTTTGAGAAATGGAGACAGCTACCTAATGGAGAACATCTGAAAGAGAATGTTCTGTACCCTGTATTTTAGCAGCCACATGTCAGGAGAAAGATTACTGGTTCCRTTTGAGAGCCAGGGGAAAGGCCATGTAAGTACAGCAGATCAGGTGCTTTGTGGTGGTGATTAATGTTGCTCCAGAACCATCTGATGAACTTTGTCAAGCGCCCATTTCTTATGGTAGTTTGTATGGTTTCCATAAAATTAGCCTGCCTGTCCCTTGCTTATCTAGGAGAATAAGCAATTTTATGAAGCTGCTAACTTGTAGCTCCCTCCCCCTCACACTGCTCCCGTGGTAGGTCTGCCAGATGTAAACTTGAATGGCCCTCAGTGAAATGCAKAAGACTAATGTTAATTCCATTGCATAGCTCCCAAACTGTCAGGAAATTTTCTTTTAGAAATGCCACCTAGTGTGGTTGTTTTGTTGATTTTATTTGCTTAAAGAGACTGCTTGTTCTTGTGAAAGTGGAAGGATAATCTTCCCTTCCAGACTGGGACAAAACCACACTTTAGAATGTCACACTTTCCCTAGAAATGGGAAGTCCCAGCCAACTCCAATAGTGACTTGAATTTAATACTTAATGCTACAAATATGTGATCAGGCTTGACAAACTAGAGCTATGGGTATGTTTGCCCCAAATACTGCATTCTTTTTACACTCCCTCCACTTTTGTGTGTAGTTTACTGTCAGGCTTAAGTCATGATGATGTTTATATGTTCGTCTCCTGCTTTTTTTTTTTTTTAAGGAACTGGTGCTGGGAAGCTGGTCACACCTCCACAGCCACCAGCAAGATCCCCAACAACTGAACTTACGAGCAAGTCTGGAGTCTCGGCCTGGGCTACAGCTCATGACCCCTACACATCACTTAAAAATGGAAACATGCACATCATTGGTAATATCATCTAAATTAAATTTCTTGRCCTTAGTTAATAATTTTAGTACAAAAGCCTCGGTGTGTCTCAGCCCTCAAAAGCTCACTCAAGACTTTGTCATAGCAGTAACAGGGCAGTRTAATAAAAATATTTTTGTACAACCTTATACAATGATAGAAAATTAAGGCTTTTTCACAAAGTATTTGAATCAGTCAGTAGAAAAGCAAAGCATGCAATACCTGCAAACTTACTTAAAAATGTGAGTAGCTCCCATAGTCTGGTTATATTACCATTCTTAAAACCAGATCATGGACATTTAGAGGCTTCAGTCCTATAGGGCAAAGACCACTAAGAATTATTTTTGTGGTCTGATGTATTCTTGCTAACAGCTGCATGTCTTGAAAACCACCAAGGAATACCTCTATTATCACAATACCATCAATGTAGAAGCTTAACTTCAGTTTTACTAGCAGGCAGTGATTGCAATTAAGCCAGAAAACTTGGATGGCTCACAGAAGTACCCATCAAGATGGTTTATATGGAATGAGCCACTATCAGTTCCAGGGGAAAATAAGCCAGCATTTGTAATTGAAATTACTTATGGCAACATTATTGGGAGTTTTTTTTTAAGTTTCTCACTAACAGGGACTAATATTTATTTCCCTGAAACTTCCCAGATGACTTCGAATCTAAATTTACTTTCCATTCTGTGGAAGATTTCCCCCCACCTGACGAATTCAAACCATTTCAGAAAACATATCCCAGCAAGATACCCAGAGGTAAGTGTGTAAACAKGAAAAGATCTGATCATTATCAAGAGGTTTAAAAATGGGGACAAAAACAAAGAACTGAAMCAGCATTAACATAACTGGACTGCTAGCATARACACAGAGAGGAATGGGRTTTGTCACAGTGGCAACAGGGACCMAAGATACCAYRAGAAGCACTTAATTAATTACTTTAAARTCTTAGCTAAAACAAAATTATGTGGCTGGACATGCAGCCTGTGTTTTTGATTGCTGAATTTGCAAAGCCCGTGATGTTGAAAACAGTAATATCATAAAACAGACTTGGACAGCTACTAATTTTGAGTTTTTTTGTTCATTAATTTGTGAAATCACTAAGAGAAAAGTGTCTTGATCCATGTCTTCCATCATGTATTTTGATTTAAATCTATGCACCATGTTTTACACACCTGAATAACAAAGTTCAGGACCTATTACCTGAACCTTGTCAGGAAAATGATAAAAGGCTTGCTTCACTTTTTTTTTTCCTCCCTTCTTAGTTTAGAAACTTAGAATTAGGTCACTGCAGTAAGAGCAGTTCACCYATCCAGCTTTGAAAATGAGTAGTTGAAGGTGCCAAAAGATCTCATGCCCATATTCTGCTTTTTATAGAACCCATTTTTCTGTATTATTACATCTGCAACTTTTAATTAACGTTTTGTTTTGTTTTGCTTCCATGCTAAGGTCCTTTTCATGACTTTTCATAGCAGTCTCTGTCAGACTAAATTGTGTGCTGTATGATCTGACTTTTTACTGAAGGGCTGCAGAACACAAGYAATGTGTGTGTGTTTATGTATATATATACATACATATATGTGTATGTATGTGTATGTATATGTCAGGGGTAGCAGACAAATGCAGCATCCCTGCTGTTTACCTGGATCCAAAATATCTATTTTAAAAAAAAAATCTTATCTCATTTTATTAAATCTGTCCTATTTATTTACAGATCCCTCTAAAATTCCTCCATTACGAACACACGTGAGATGAGAAGAGTCTTCTGATGCTCTCTGGACTAGTATTGAAAAAGAARATCAAGATACTACATAAAACAGAAGGGGTCCCCATTGCATTGATCGACTGTACTTGAGTTGCAAGTACTGCAATGTTAACATTTCTATAAACTGGAAAAACAATATAAATTGAACTGACCTACATACTACAGGGATGTTAGTACAGGCTTTTAAATAATTGTATATAGGTGGATATTTTTAAAGCAAAGCAGCACAAAATTTAAATTCTTTGTAATGTTGAAACAATTCTCATTGTTATTGTGCTGACAATGTTACCTCAAAATGTTTTGTGCTACATGCCTGTTGTTCTTTTTTCCCCTTCCATCATAATTTTTGGAAATTCTTCAGTTATTATTCAGACATTTTCTCAATGAACTGYCAAACTAACATGCTATCTTTAGTCTGGTTTTATGTTTCTTCACTTCTTCTATTCTGCCTGTCCTCAGACTGCAGCAGGATGTCACTTCGATGAAGAGAWGGGCCCACAATCCTTTCCTCATAAAGAGGAGATGCCAAGGAGCCGTGGCTGCTATTGAGCCAACCTMCTAATGATTACAGATCCTTATAGGATAGTGTCTGAAGAAGTCCAGCTGGGTAGGGTAGTCATGGACTTGACAAAGATGACAGAACCTTTCCAAAGTGGAGGAAAAGGAAGTTGCTCCGTTGTAAGCAAGCAAAAGAAATGGTGTGTGTGAATACACATGCTGTGATGTGTGCATGTAAGGACACGTGTCCTGTCTTTTCCTGCTGGCAAAGGGGATATTTACCATTGCTGTGACAGATTGCCTCTACCCAGCAATTACAAGGCCTTTGGATRAGGGGTCCTAAACCTACATTTTAAACAGGCAACTAGAGCTACTACTATTGACCAGTAGTGAGGATTCATTGTCCAAAATACACCACGTGAAACACTCAGCCCCTAAAGTGRTTGTTGTCTCAAAAAGAGTTGGCTGAGAAAAGTAACAACCTAGGAGCAGACAAGACTTGAACTTCTGCTTTTAATATTCAGACCTTGGGTAAGGTCACAGATGTTCAGATCTGGTCCTAAGATGTCTATTTCTAGCAAGAATTAGACAGAATTCTAGTGCAGTTCACTGCATCAGGAGTGGTGCCAAGTTGAGGGAGGTGATTCTTCCCCTCTGTTCAGCACCAGTGAGGCCACACCTGGAGTGCTGTGTCCAAGTTCTGGGCTCCCCAGTGCAAGGAAGACATGGCCATGCTGAAGGGAGTCCTGCAACAGGCCACAAAGGTGATGAAGGGACTGGAGCATCTCTCCTATRAGGAAAGGCTGAGAGMTGGGMCTGTTCAGCCTRGAAAAGAGAAGGCTCAGAGGKGAATYTCTCCAACGTGTATAAATATTTGAAGGGAGGGTATAAAGATGGARCTAGACTCTTTTCAATGGTCTCCAGTGACAGGACCAAAGAAAATGAGCAGCAGCTACACCACAGGAGGCTCTGTCTGAACGTGAGAAAACACTTTTTGACTGTGGGGATGACTGAACCTTGGTACAGGTTGTCCAGGGAGCTTGTAGAGTCTCACTCTTTAAAGATACTCAAATGCCATCTGGACTCCATCCTGGGCAACTGGCATGAGGTGACCCTGTGTGGCTAGAGGTGTTGGACCAGATGATCTGTAGCCATCCCTTTCAACCCCAACCACCCTTTGATTCCCTTTTTTMCAGCTTTTCTGGGTTTCTATACCTGGGTAATAGCAACCCAAGRCAGCACTACAGGCCAGGGGCAGAGTGGCTGGAAGTCTGCCTGGCACTAAAGGACCTGGCTGGTTGACAGTGGCTGAACAGAAGCCAGTGTGTGCCCAGGTGATCAAGAAGGTCAGCAACATCCTGGCTTGAGGAGGTTCAGAGAGAACCTTACCATTCTCTATAACCCGAAAAGATAATGTAGTAATGTGGGGGTCAGTCACTTCTCTCAAGTAACAAGCCACAGGACAAGAGGAAATGCCCTCAAGCTGTGCCAGGGGAGGTTTAGATTGGATATTGGGAAAAACTTCTTCACCAAAAGTGTGGTCAGGCATTGGAACGGGCTACTCAAGGAAGAAGCAAGTCCCCATATAATGCCTGCASGTATTTAAAAGACTTGTAGATGTGGCACTCAGGGACATGGGTTAACTTGGTGGTGGTGAACTTGGCATTACTGGGTTAACAGTTGGATTTGATGATCTCAGTGTTCTTTTTCAATCTGAATGATTCCATGATTCACCACCTTGAAAAAGGATACTGCAGTTCTGGGGTGAGTCTGGTGCTATTTACAGTAATGGCATTAATTTATATAATTGCCATCAATTCCCCTCAGTCAGAGCTGTAATAATGTTACAGATCACAGATTATCTTTCCCCATGGTGTTGCCTTTGAACACAAGTATTTAGAAAATTCAGGTAACTGCRTTTTTACATCTCTGCTTTTCTCCTTGTTCTTACAGCAGCTCAGTTATGCTGTAACTATTCCCACACACATGAATGTTCATGGTGTGAGATGGAGTAGGGGGAAGAAGCTCTTCACCCATAGGACTCCAAGAAAGCAACATTAATAATTTTCTAGCCTATTATAATACCTTGSTGTACATCATGTGATAAGAAAAAGAGAAAAAAAAAAAGTGGTCATGCTTTGACCAATACTGTCACTGTCATTATTGTAGTTACTTGATAAATATGCATGAAAAGAGCAACAAGAGGTCTGCATCTACGTTGCTTCTCAAACAACTGGAAAAATTGCATACTGCTTTAAAAACTATTTTGTTATAGTACTGTTAAAGGTGGCATATTGTTGGCTCTCATTTATTCTGAAATTCGTGTACTACTCTGCAGCAAGTAGAGGATTTTAAAACTGTTTAATGCTAGACTACCTGCGAGCAGATATATAAAGAAGAAAATTTTACTCCATTTTTAATTTTGCTTTGGGTATTATAGAAATAAACATCTTTCAAGGATGAAATTAGAGATCCTGTGCATATTTGCTAGCTTTAGTGAAATGTTGTTTTCATATATTTGCCATTCAAGATCCAKTGAAGCTTCTGGGGACAAAAGGAATCACACTGGCTGTCACCCTATGGCAGCTGGTCCCACAATTCCCACTGTGTCCTTCCACTGAGACACAGCTCTGCTCAAGACTACTGGAAATGGTTTCTACTGACTRCAYCCAACCATGTTGCTGTACCACAGAYGTTTTTTGGCTTTAAATGCACTATRCAGCTGAAGCAAAATCAACGTACRATTAGAAAATTAATACCTGGATCACTGTGCTCAAAACGGTTTATTTATTCTGTCATATAAGCAGTTCCAAATAAGGACATGAATGCCCATGAGATAATTGCAAGTGTTGCTTTCTTCTTTCTTAAGAAACAGGCAAATAAGATATATGATGTTTTTAACAGGAACACCCACTTCTTTCATCTTGCCTCCCTCCCAACTCTCAAAGATTAGAGATCCAAGTTGTGCAAAATAGCTGTGAGAAGTGGTAGATCCTAATTTTTTAGTCCTCAGGCTTGGGCAATCATTTTATCTCTGTCCTCCACTTTTTCCGAAATACCCAGCCACTCCTATCAGGAGATGTGATTTCATGGGAAATCCATTCAATTCTGTTATGGGCAGCTGGAAAAAGCACACTTCTCTTTCGCAGGATTCATCCCACACAATATCCWCTGAAATCAAGTATGCTTCTTGCAGTGAGCCCCTGCTCTATCACACAGAACAGCTAAATTTCAGGGTTTACTTGCATATTTTCTTCTCCCATTGTCTACACTTTAAAATACTTAGGCATAGGAGTTGGTCCTGTGAAAGACAGAGTGGGAGGATTGTATTGTGAATGGGAGATTATTAGGTAGGCCATAACAGAAAATATCTTCTTGCTTGTTTTCTGTAAGTGAAAAGGCCCCATATTTTCTTGTCCAATTGCCACTTGTCATATAAGGCAATACCAAAGTAATGACTCTGAATGGAACAATTTCATTTAAAAAATCCTGAGAATACAGTGTGCCAATATGGCAATGACTATTTCCCTGATGCACAACTCTTACAGTTTCAACTCGAGGTGTTAMTGCTTTCTAAGGAGCTTTTACTTCCTCAATAAAGAAGCCTGTGCTTCTTCACTTTCCCAAACAATGAAGAATTTTGACTTGGACATCTTCTTTCAACCTCCTGTATGAAAAAAAAACCCCACCAACCATCTTCACTGGACACAGGAAGCAGTGTTTACTGGTTTAATTCTCAGTGCCCTATCTCACTTCCACAAGAAGAAAACACAAAAAAGCAGGTCTGCCTGTAGGACTGTGGAGGAAGGGAAGCATGCTGCAGCACTGCACTTTGAGGAAGCATAGGACAGCCATTTCTAAGCCTAACCAGTTGGATTGCCACAACCACCAGTRCCTCACTGGTGCTGAATGGATTCATTCAACAGAGATTACTAGGAACTGTTYAGCAGTACAAAGGCAGAAAGATGGAGAATAGCCAGCTATTAATCAATGTCCAGCATTTATTCCTTAAAAAAATCCAAATTTGTAGCTTGTGGTATAGGTCTGGCACCTTATTAATTGCTTAAGAGCCAATATTTGTAGGTTCTTTAGCACCCAGGCTGGCTCTGCACTTCAGTACTCAGTTTTGGAGCAGCAGCCAGGTGCACCWCAAACACAAGCTGCCTTAAACTGGCTGAGGGCAAAGGCAGAACTTAACCTGGGGGACTTAATTCTGACAATTTGTACAGGCATAATGTCAGGTGCTGAGTCACTGTAACAAGATGCAGCCAAATGAGGCCAGCACAACAAGCTCAGGAACCAGGACTTACCTTCCTGCCCATCTCAAACTGGGATTTCAACGCTAYCATTTCAACTCTGGATGAATTAGCAAGAAGAGAAAAATGCAGGTCAGCTTTGCTGCAAGCCTGATCCTGAGCAACAGAGGGAAAACCAGATTGCTTTCAATGACGATATGGCAATTGACCTGATGAAGTTAATCTTTAATTGGTTGCCCAACATACATGTTTTAACATTCTGTACTAAATTAGCCAGCATGCACACAGTAATTGGACCAGTCAGTGACTTTCTCCTTTCACTATATACATACACAAACAGGAACACCACAAGATTGGACAAAGGAAAGCAATTTGTTAACCGGGTACAGCTAGCAAGTAACGTTTTTTCCTCTAGAAATGTTTTTTCCTGCAAAATCACGAGTGTGAAGACTCTTTCAAGACTTGAAGAACATTGCAGTCTTCCAGTGAAAAGGCTAACCATAGCCACCGTAGCTGAAATGAGATAACATTTGTTGAAAATCCATTCCAAGCAGCAGTGAAATTGAAAAAAAGTTGCTTGCAATGCAGCATAGGGAAAGGGACTTTGGAGAMAACCTGAGCAGGTAGAAATACAGGTTTGAACCCAGTTCTTAACATCCTCAGCTTAGTGCAAAAGAGAAGGAGGAGGTTCAGAATTGGATCCAACATTTCACATTCACTGGTACCTAAAGAATKAAGTGTTTGCTTACTTTATTTGAAGAACTTTAGTTCTGTGTCAACACAGTCATAGAAAAGATCCACTACTTCAGCTGGATCCAGAATCTCTGTACGAGAAAGGATATCTTCCATTGCTTCTAAACCTTGTTTTTCAAGGTCTAACATAATCCTCATCAGTTTCTGGCCTTTGTCCTAAAGRTGTGAAATAACCAAACTCAGTTAACCAGCAAACAGGCTCATTAAAGCATTTTACTGTTTCTCTTCTGTTACAGAGATCTTTTAAAATATTTTTTAAAGTGAAAAAGCCTTTTAAGATACAAACTGTTTCTATTATTAGTTATTTTGGATGGCCAAAGGCTAAAAGGAACAGTCTCCCTCAGTTTCACTTCCTTAAAACCACTTATCCAGTTTACTGCTGTAGTTGTAATTGCAAATGTCAAAGAAGTCACTGAACTACCTGCCCCATGACACTAAAAGGTGAATCTCAACCATTTGGAAAAGCTATACAGAATAATCCCCTTCYTGATTTGATTTATTCCAAAATTATTTTCATTAAAAGATCTTCAACAATTTAAGTTTTTACAATGGAAGGTTTTCAGCCCTCAGGT